CAACCACGTTGCTTAAAAAAAACGATGTAGCTGAGGGTTAGACTGACAGGCGATCTGCATCGAGTTGGCCCTTTAAGCTTAAAGCTTTTGGAGTTAAGCTTAAATCAGTGAAGACGACGAGTGTCGGCTCCTTCGACCCGCCCACCCAGAGCCGTCGGCTCGAAGTGACGCTGGACACACTGAGACGGACCTCAGCGTTCGTCCGAGCGTTCGTGGTCCCGATCTGCATCGTTCGGCACGCTGAATACGGGTGTCCACACTCCGCCGAATTTGGGACTCCCGGCCTGTTAGAGCGACAAGATTGTCCAACATGCAAATCAGATAGGCTTGATACTTTTTGGGGGTGGGCCAAAGCACGAATCATCCAGATGGTCCCAGACTTGTCGATGGCTTCGAAACTTGAGCGCAGTTTGACGTAAAAAGGGGTATTTCTGATTATATGTGCTTGCCAATTGCTTCTTTTCACCACCTTATCAAATCACAGCCAAAACAAACAACAAGCCTAGTGGGGCATAGACTGCTGTCGTCGTCCAGTCAGATTTGTAGGGTAACAAGCAATCATGTGGGCCCAAACCAATTGGCAGGCGCAGTAAAAGGGTAGAATTTGAGTACGGTATATTTCCAGAAGTTGCGGACGATGATGCTTATAGTAAAGGCCTTTCTTAAAAATAGCGATAATTGATCAAAATTGTACTCTGACTTTGCCTTCTCAAGATCCTGAGTTTCAGAGTCCAACGCTTCGGAACTCCTACTTGGTCCCGATTACAACCAATTCACTTGCCCCCCAGGCTAATGAGGATTCTCACCGACTGATAGATCGGCAAGTCAATACCAACGGTCAAAACCATCGTCTCTGGCGACTCTCCTGGTCGAGAGTGTACGTGCAACTTGAAACGAAAAGTGGCACAGGGTGGCACGGCTCTGAGTTGAATCCTCTTAAAATTTGGCGCAAGCCACACAAGCCGACTGAATTTGATCTCCCAAGACTTCTCTGGCACAATAGAATTTGGGGCACCTCTGGTGAGAAAAAGAAGGAATATTGCATGACCCGCGTGGTGGAAAACGTTTTGGGGTGGGCCATGGCTTGCGATGTGCCCCAAGTCCAAGGGACAAAAGTACCCCTTTCCATTCCTTCCCCAAGCACTCCAAGAGAGGTTAAGTGACCTGAACTAGGACCTGAACCTGGGGTACCTATGTAATAATAGTTAAGGGGTTCCTCAACCTCTGGTGGAAGCACAACAAGACCTGTCTCCAGGATTTTCGGATCCAGGCATTGCACATGAATGGGCAAGAAAACAAGTCCATGACAGTCCGAAGTCCAACGCTTTTTGGGGGTTCCTGCTGAATCTTTTCTGCCCAACCACCCTCTTTTTTCCCGGCTCTGGAGGTTCCACCACGTTCCATCTATATAACCTGTGCATGGATTTTCTAGCAAAACAACTGCAAACGCCCTTCTTCTGAATGCTTGTACACAACACTCCTTCGGATGTTGTTAGGGGAGCCCAAACCAACTCATCAAGCTCTGGAGAAGGCCAAGCACACAAACTCCAAGCCCATAGCATTGGTATATATGCTAGTGACGACGTTTTCGTGCGCGACGTGAGTGATGTGAGTGGGAGTGGAGATTCCCGATACGAAAAACTCCCACCAATGCAGTAATGTCGTGAGGTATTCCGATTCCCAATGCTCTGTGAAGTTTCTCAAATTCAACCTGCTGGTCCGCAAAGGATGACACGCACAAAACGAAGGGTGTACCAAAACGGACACTTGAAACAAACCCAACTGAGACGGTTGGAAGCCGCTTTTGCACAAGCCTGAAAAAGGTCTTCAGGCTGAAACCTTCAGGTTATGAGCCCAAGGCTGGAGGTGTAAGGCCCAGCTTGAGGTTGATCGCTGGGCCGCCCTGCGCAAGCGAAAGCCATGGCCATGATGGTTCGCCGACGAAGACGGCAACCTGGCGATGATGGAGAAGAAGAAGAAGAAGCCGATCCGGAAGGCCTCCCACTACAAGAGCCGCAGCTGGAAGAAGAGCAGCTTGCTCTGGAGGATGGTGAAGGAGGTGGGGAAGAGGAGACCTTGGAAGGTCCGAAAGGGCCGCCTACGACCTTGACGCCAATGACCCCACTCTTCACACCGGAACAGCTGAGGGGACTTCATGAAGTGCAGAGCCAAGCTCCTCACCTATATGCTCAAGTCCCGAGGCAGAGCATCTGGCAGCCTGGTATGGGAAACAGGTCTCCGGAAGAGGTGAAAAGAGAAAGACCACAGTTCCTACCGAAGGAGGAGGGTCCGGCTGGAGCACTTCCGCAGACGAGTACAACGACGGGGACACCCTCACCGGCACTGATGGGCGATCATGTACCAGATGACCAACGACGTGGACGACCAAGAGAACCACGGGACCTGAAGTACAAGAGCCTGAAAGTGACAGTGACGGGCGAGGACATCCCCAACCTCGAGAACAATCGGTGGTTCAGATCCAAGGGAAGGGACCGGGAGGAAGAGGTCTACATGTTCCAAGAGGTTTTGGACAAACTGGCCCACCTGGCTACATCATGCCCCATGAAAAGAGGAGGGGACCTATGCCGCATCAAGGAGGATGGCAAGTTCAACTACATCCCTATGGCCCTGGTCCGCCGAATCCGCAGGAGATGATGACCATGTTGGCGATGTTAAAGCAGGAGAATCAACAACTGCAGATTCAGCAGGCAGAGCTCATGGACGCCATGAAGTACCAGAGGGCGAGCCTGGAAGCCAAGGTCCATGACCTTCAACGTGAGCTGGAGCAGCAGGCCTTCAGAACGCCAGAGAGCGATGAGTCTGTGAAGCGTCAGCTGGAGATGACAGTCGACGAGCCCAGTACCAGCAGAGCTTTGCGGAGGAGAACCTGTGGTTGGTGCGCAGAAAAGATGCTGGAGATGGAGATTGGGTCGAGGGACTCGCCTTGGTGTACGTGGATGACGTGATGCTCTTCGGCACCAGGGAGATTGTAGAAGGAGGGCTCCAGAGCTTTCGGAGGACCTGGGAAACGTCCGAACCTACGTGGGTGGGAGATCGTGAACCAGTTCGGTATTGTGGAATGGAGTTGAGCCGAACTGAGCAAGGAGACTTCTTTGCCAATCAATGTTCCTACTTGAGGGAAGTGGTTCGGCGACATGGCATGGAGGACCTCTGCAGTGCTCAAATGATGAAGGAATCCCAGGAGCCCGAGGATGAGCTGGATCGCACGCCCTTACAGGTTCGAGAGGCACAACAACTTGGAGGAGAACGCCACTCAGGGCCTGGGCTTGTGGTACCGCAGAGATGCCAACTTCATCCTGGAGTCGGTGAGCGATGCATCTTTTGCTCCAGGAGGTGCCCACAGCCATGGTTGCGTGATCACGACAGTAGCGGGTGCACCGGCGGCATGGAAGAGCTGCAAGCAGCTGTTTCCGGCCCTCTCAACGGCAGAAGCAGAGCTCATCGAGGTCATCGAAGCTGTGGTTGTGGGAGACAGCATCGCATGCCTGGTTGATGAAATGACGAGGGACGTCCCAAAGTTCCTCAAGTGCGACAACACTGCTGCAGTTTCAATAGCAAGTTGTGCAACTGGAGCGTGGCGTACAAGACACTTGAAGGTCCGGGCCGCCCACCTCAAATGGAGGATCCAGTCTGGTCAATGGGAGTTGAAATACCAGCCTGGAAGAGAGCTCATCGCGGACATCGGCACCAAGGCTTTGCCCGTGGCTCGAGTCAATGAGCTAAGACAACGAATGGGGATGTCATGGCAGCCCGACTCAGTTGATGAAGTGCATGAGGAAGACAAGGGCATTGTTGCACCTCGTGCCATGAAGTTGGTCGCGAAGTACCACCTGGAAAAGGCCATGAGGCTCGTTGTGGTGCTGTCGGCATTGAAAGAAGTGCATGGAGCTATGGCTGAGAACGTCACCAAGAGTGTCGATGAGAACACCGAGGGCGACCACATTCTGTACCTCCTCAGCGTCATGATGATGTTGCTGGGAATGGTGCTCATGAAGATCCTTCAACGATGCCGCTTGCATTGGGGCCAAATGGAGGAGGAGCCAGAGGCGCGTAGAGTGAGGGTCTCTCGCTACAAGATCTTCTACAAGGCGTCAAGCGGGGAGGGGTCAAGGATCACACCAACGAGGAGAAAGTCAACAGCGGACGAGCGATGGGGAGCACAGTACTTCATCGTTGCCGCCGACGGGTACCAGTTCTAATGAGGGAAGGGGAACTGGAGGCCCGGAGGGAGATCATCCTGTACAAGCTGAGCCGCAAGAAGAACCTCCCATCCAAGTTGACGGGCCAGGGGACCGACTACAGATCTCCCTGACCGGAAGAAGGAGGCGGTTCGCAGCTGAGCCGACGTGGCAGATCTGGTTTGCGGAGTCCAGCCAATGCTTCCATCGACGACAGGATTGCAGGGGGCTGAGAAATGCAAATCGAGTTCGAGGGCATCCGGTGTGTGGGGCCTGCCAGAGGGCAGCTCAAGGCCAGAGGAGCCTGATGGAAGCAAGCTTCGTGTATGAGGACCAGCTGGGCAACCACCACACAGATGCTCGCTGCCGCGCAGTGACAGGGCCGATGTTAGAGATCCGCCAATGTAAAGTGTGTGGCGGCTGAAGCGGTTTGGGCCTACGGCTCGATTTTCGAATGCTGGTCAGATGCTAAACGCACGACCAGGGAGGAGTGCTGGTCCGCAAAGGATGACACGCACAAAACGAAGGGTGTACCAAAACGGACACTTGAAACAAACCCAACTGAGACGGTTGGAAGCCGCTTTTGCACAAGCCTGAAAAAGGTCTTCAGGCTGAAACCTTCACAACCAATGCGATGACCGAGAATTTCTGACACCTGCACAGAAGTCTTGGGCAATTCAGCCATCTTTGGCCAGCGGTGGCCCAGCGAAGGGATGCATCTCATCTCATTCTCAAACAAAAAAAACTAAAAACAAAAAATACAACAAAAGTCCCAATCAGGGTTCTTTTGAAAAAATGATGGTTCCATCCACTTTGAGACATTGTCCCTAGGGTTTCTATTGATCCAATTCAGCTCTTTGAGCTGCTTGGCTGCTTGGCAGCGAGAAGCTGCTCCTTCTTCCGTGCTCCAGGGCGGAAGTCGGTGTTGAGGTCGGTCCCGCCTCACAGTCGGGTTGGAATGAGTGGTTCGTCTTGGACCGTCGCGTCTTGGACGTCTCTTGGACCATTTCACCATGTTTTGACCACCAGCTTCTTCAGTGTGACATGACCTTCGATTCCTAGTGACCCAAGCTGGAGGCCTCACGAACATGACCGAACCAAAGGGGGGATGAAAAAGTCACTTGGAAGAATCCGGCAGACAAATATCTCTTGTAAAGCTCCAGATTGGGAGGCCAAAAACATGTACTTCGAAGCTATCGGGCACCCACAGGTGTGCCGCTTGCAAAACTGGTTGTGGACAGGTCTTCCTGCTTGCACCAGGCTCTCACATTTTGGTGTGCACACCTGGGAGACTCCCCTTAAGATCCCCTCATCAAGTCAAGAATAAACCAAGCTACGCGGGTCTCCCTCGGAACATGTTCTTGCTCACCCATTTTTGCCCGTGGTGTTTCGAGGCGAAAGCATTTTTGCATGGGAAGACTATAGACTAAAGGTGATCAACTGACTGCGTAATGAGACGGCGCATAGGATAGATACATTCCCATTCTACATCCTCCGGACGAAGATGGAAGTGGGTGGGCTCCACCCGTTTCCCCCCCGACCGTTTCCGCCACACCCCACCGCTGGCTGGAGCTTCAGCTCGTGAGCCCGAGACGCCTCCGCCTACTGCCATTGAAAAATGAAGAGGATCGCGAAACGAAGGCCTGGGAGCAGCATGGACCCACGTACCGAACCTCAATTATTCCCAGAACTCGGGACTGACACATTGGTGGTGCCAGGGGGGTCAATGTAGCCATATATCATATATTCCATACATGGATGGTCTGGGATTGGATCCAAAGCTCTTTACCATCCTTTCGGGTCGGTATTTTTGGGACATGAAGGTCATCAGTGAGGTCTCTTTCCGGAAACAGGCAAAAGGGACAGTGTCTCTGTTTAATACATCTATGCTCTGGGTAGTCCTGAAATCTCTCCAACGCGAGCTTCTACGGTATGTCAAGGTTTTGAAACTGAATCCTCTCTGGTGATGGGACATGAAGAATGAACACCTCGAAGCAGTTGTTCGGGGCAAACCCTTCGATTTGACCAGCACCAAGCTGACCAGGCATCTGATCATGCCTGCGCAGGTCAGTCTGTTTGATCCATAAAAGCACCACTAAAAGCACCAAAACGTCAGATACCAGCTGCTTCCAAGGGGTGCCCAATGGAAGCCCCTACACCTCTAAGGGACCTCCATTGGACACCCCTTGAAGGTCCAGGTACGTTGCGGTTGGAAGATCCAGGTGGAAACCAGCACCATCCCTGCCACCAATGGTTTGACCTGTGAAAGCCCGGGCCCTTCCCAACCCTCTTCACGAAGAGACCTGGCAGGAATTTGGATGCTGGTACACGCGATGCCCAAACACTCCATGTATGGAATGTTTACCTACATTCACCTCTGAAACCACCCCTATGTAGGTAAATATTCCATACCCGCAGCTTCCAACAGGTCTCCGAAATGGTTGCTGTACTGCAGACTTCACAAGTCGCAGGCCGCAGGCTTCCATATAATTCTAACCTCCCTCCATTGATAAATATAAAAAATTTCCATACCTGAGCCTGGTTCTTCAAAGTGACCGAACTTGATACCCCAGTTGGTTTGGTCACAAACAAGCCTCTCAAGCGTCACTGGAAGAAGCTGGTACATGTGAGGAACGAGCTACGTGCGCAGGGGACGTTCAGAACTGCTGAGGGAGCCTCTAACCTTCTTCCAGTTTAAGCAGGGGGTGCCTTCACTCCTCAGCCGGAGATCCATCGATGCAACCTGGAAACAGAAGGGTTAACAGGTCTCCCCATGAAATCCAGGCTTCGTACCTGGCAGAGTACCTGGACCCCCTTTTTTAAAAACGTCGGGGGTGGTGGTAGACATGGACACCCCCGAGGATGAGCTCGCCTCTTAGAAGGGCTATAGAGCAATGGACACCCGGTGACCTCCGAGGTGCCTAACATCTTAACTCTTGAATTCCCAAGGTCCCATTCTCTTTGAACGACGCAAACCAATCCCAAACGCTTCCATGGGACTGCCATAGGACTGCCGATCAGGCCAGGGGTGGTGGTTTGGGGGGTCAATTGATATATTCATACTCCAGTCCCATGGAGTGTCCGGGAATCCTTGGGGCATCCGGCCAACGATGCCAATGGCAATAAAAATGCCCCAAAAGCCTTCCTCGCCGATGTACTCCTGGACGCAGCGCTCGCGTAACGGGCATGGCGATAGACCGGACAACCAGGCCGATCGGGGACGCCCACCTCGAATCCACGTGTTGTTGGGCGTTGAGATGGTCGGGTCGAAGGCTGGCGGTGGGTGACATTACCGTGGTCATTCGCATGGTTTTCACCTGGTCATTCCCAAAGCTGGCTGTGTGTGGCCTGGTCGAGCTCCAGGTTGACCCAATCCCGCTGGGTCCAAGCCCAGGGCCCAGGGACTCTGGCGTTTTGGGTGGACCAGCGGCAGAATGGGTCGGACAGGGTGAGCACCCATCCGGAATCTGGGTGACGGACACCAGAAACCTCCAGCAAACTCAATGGAGACGTGGATGTCCAGGGCCCCCCCCGATTTCGGATGGAGTCTTCTTCCGAAGACCAAACAGGTGGTGAACTCCACTGCAGCATGATGATTTCAAGTGGTGTGATCCTCCAGAGATTCAGAATGGATGTTTTTGCCTCCAAGAGTTATAGACTTTGGTTTGGGGTGGTCGCTAGAAGTTTGCTGAAAAATGTTCCTCTAACTCCCTGGGACACAGCAAAATTCCTGGGTGACTCCTGGTTGACAGAACACCCTGACCCCCACACCAAATTCCATGTAACCGTGTGTGACCACAGTCCTTGGACGCAAGAAAATTCTGAAACTGAGGGAACTGCCGGGGGGTTGGACCGGAACAAAATGGTCGTGTCCTGGGTGGTTTGTGGGCTGTCATGGGCTGTCAAGTTTCCAACAGAATCAACTTACACCACGAAAAATACAAAAAAGATCGATGTGATTGAAATTTGAAGAAATCCTATCATGTACACGACTCTTGATCCATAAAGCCCCCCCAAGCCTCTTCAAAGGTCTTACCATCCAAGTTTGGGGGGTGATGGATCCTCTTACCGACTATAAGGGCTTCGTGACTCCACAGCGGCTTCGTTGGCGGGACGAGGAGAAAGCTGGACGACCACTCCTTGGAGACCTTTAAAGCAAAGCGGATCAGTGCGAAGATCATCAGGGCAACAGCGACCTCAGTCACAGGCGACTGTCAACACTAGACGACTCCGGACAAAGCTCGCCTTCGTTCAAAGCAGAAAGCACCAAAAACGACCTTCCAAGAGTTTGGTTGACTCGGTTTTGTAGTGTTGGACTGTAGTCAAAACACTGCTTGTTTGTTCAAAACCCATTAACTCAATGGTGGGCCAAGAGTCCTAAATAGTCCTAAACTAAAGGTTCACCGGATTGTTGTTTTGTTGCCGTTTTCGATTTCGACTCACAGCTTGTCATCTTTGTTTTCGTAAAGCTGTCGACTTCGACGCAGGTATTCAAATAGTTTCAAACGGACACCGAACGGGTTAGTAGCATACAGTACTTGGTACATTCCTCTCGAGTTGAACCAGCAGCTTTCAAGAACCGCACCAATTTAGATATTTCAGCAATTGAGCGACATTGGCTAGAGCCTGGAGCGGTCAAGCATTGATGGCCTGATCAGTTTTGGTGCAATACACCTTTCGCCCCTTCTTCACAGCTTTTGACTCCGTCGGCTCCTTCTTGCAACTGTTGTCGAGCTCTGTTTTTGCCGCCCTCTCCATCGGTTCCATCCACTTCACGCAGGCCGTCGGGAAGCTGCCGCCTGGGCACTCAGCAGAGATCATCGACGTTTTCATATGCCAATGCACTGCTCAGCTCCGACATTTCCTCATCGGTTGCGTCAGGTGTTCGGCGTTCGACAGCATACTGCCATATAGAGACGCGGACAGACTCAAAAACATCTTCCACCTGCTCAGCCAACTCACACCCGAGAGTCAATGTCAAGCAGGGTCCTTCGCTCAAGATCTTCCAGGCGGATGAATTCGGCGCGAAGCCCTGCGGGCGGGCCGCCATCAATGACACTGCGCATGAGAAGGTGGTCGTCAAGAGTGGCAACACGAGACAACAGCACGTAAAGATGCATCCAAAAGTCATCACTGGTCATGGGTGGAGGCTTTGCAAAGTCCAGCGAGACAGATGGCAGGGTGGAGCCCTGCAGGCTGTAGGCGGTGAAGGCAACGGCGTTCGTGAGAGGCAGCTGGGTGCGATGCACCGTGGCCGGGCAAAAATCCGATTCGGTCGCAGCAAGTTGGAAGGTCGGCATGCGTCTGTGGAGACAAGAGAAAGCGGCCGGGGCCGAGAATGGTCCATCCCAAGGCGTCGCTCATATGCCCTTCGCGACAGTCCTAATCTTTCAGCGGCCTGACATCTGCGCTCACGCTCCTCCGCTATTCGATTTCGGGTCCTGGAGGATGTAGTAGGAGTTGGCGTGGTGGAACTGTGAGCGGCAGGCGCAGAAGATGGCATCGGCCTCCATGGAGGTTCTACGCAGGCAAGAACTGCAGCTGCAAGTTTAGATCTGAAAAAGGCCTCATCGACTGCAGCTAGAGCTTCGATTTCCGCTCTCCAAGCTTTGCAAAGGCAATGACCTGTGGGCCAGCAACACAAGAGCATCTCCTACAGGAGTGTCCCTCAAGGGTGTCCCACAAGAGTGTTGCACAAGAGCGTCTCCTACAAGAGTGTCCAACAAGAGTGCTGCACAAGCATGTCTCCTACAAGAGTGTCCCACAAGAGCGCGTTCCCACAAGAGTGCTGCACGAGAGTGTTTCCTGCTAGAATGACCTAGAAGAGTGTCCCACAAGAGTGCTGCACGAGAGTGTCTCCACAAGAGTGTCACACCAGAGTGTTGCATGAAAGCGTCTCCTGCAAGAGTGTCCCACAAGAGTGTTGCACGAGGGCGCCTCTACAAGAGTGTCCCACAAGAGTGTTGAACGAGAATGTCTCCTGCAAGAGTGTCCCACAAGAGTGTTGCACGAGAGCGTCTGCTACAAGCGTGTCCCACAAGAGTGTTGCACGAGAGCGTCTCCTACAAGAGTGCCCTGGAAGAGTGTCCCACAAGAGTGTTGCACGAGAGTGCCTCTACAAGAGTGTCCCACAAGAGTGTTGCACGAGAGCGTCTCCTACAAGAGTGTCCCACAAGAGCGTCGCACGACAGCGTCTTCTACAACGGTGTCTCAAAGGATTGTCCCACGAGAGTGTTGCACAAGAGTGTCTCTACCAGAGTGTCCCGCAAGAGTGTTGCACGAGACTGTCTCCTGCAAGAGTGTCCTAGAAGAGTGTCCCACAAGAGTGTTACAGGAGAGTGTCTCTACAAGAGTGTCCCACAAGAGGATTGCACGAGAGAGTCTCCTACAAGAGTGCCCCACACGAATGTTGCACGAGAGCGTCTCCCCAAACAGCGTCCCACAAGAGTCTTGCATGAGTGCGTCAACTACAAGAGTGTTGCATGGATCATCTCCTACAGGAGTGTCCCACAAGAGTGTTGCACGAGATCGTCTCCTACAAGAGCGGGAGCGTCCCACAAAAGTGTTGCATGCGAGTGTCTCCTACAAGAGTGTCTCACAGGAGTGTTCCACAAGAGTATCTCCTGCAAGAGTGTCCCGCAAGAGTGTTTCATGAGAGTGTCTCCTGCAAGAGTGTCCCGCAAGAGTGTTACACGAGAGCGTCTCCTACAAGAGTGTCTCACAGGAAAGTTGCACAAGAGTATCTCCTGCAAGAGTGTTGCACGAGAGTGTCTTCTACAAGAGTGTTTCACAAGAGTGTTGCGCGAGAGCATCTCCTACAAGAGTGTCTCACAGGAGTGTTGCACAAGAG